AGAAAGGGGAAGACATTGAGTATCCCTTGCGGAGGAGCGTACGATATAAGGAGAGAAGGAGGGGACATTATTCCTCCTTCTCTCTCCTCAGATTTATCCTCCTTGTTACTAGGTTGGCTAGCTAGTTGCAGAACTCTTTCCAAACCCTCACACAGACGTCTTCAAAAAATGGGCGAATTCTTCACCTACGACTATGACATCGAGGCCATCTCGGCTGCAATTAAGGCAGGACAGCTTAAACTTAAAGGTTCGAAGCGCGCTTAATACCACCAATGTCTGCCATTCATTATCCCCGGCATGGGTACTACTTCTGCTGCGAAACTCTACCTGGGTAAGTCTACCGTACGTAACCTATTACAATGGTTGTTACTAAACCATCACCCTAGCCAAACGGCTTCATCCGAAGCGCTTCTTTAGTGCCGCTGAACGTGGCCTCTTAAGGTGTATTTGGGGTGCAGATGATAACGAGTGGGTTGACCTCCCTGGTCCTGCTTACTTCTGGCCTGATAAGCCTGAGTGGTACGCGAAGAATGGTTTCGAACCAAGAGTTGATCAGAAGGATAACTACAAAAAGGCTCTGGCAGCTTTGAATGGTGAATTCGTTGAGGAGTGGGAAGATCATCTCCTTCATAGCCAAGCCCCATATGACTTGGTGTGGAATAGGTTCTTTGTGGGTGCCTGATCTTTAGGGGTACCTGATCAAGGTCATCTCAGTTAGCACTGGGGGGGAGGGGGGAAATTAAGACAGACCTGTCTTCACTAGGTCGTTCGGCAAGTAGTAAAGTCCGATAGAGATTGAATGGAACGCAAGGAGCTGAATCACTCTGCGCTCTCCTCTTCTTTTGTAGCTACGATTCAGACTGTTACTTTGGTTGTTACAATTCTCCATACACTTGCGGATAGGAATATCTCAGCAGACTAAGTCTCCACAGTTACAATTTGTTTCTCGCCGACGCGTTGTTGAGAGTGAGTATCTCGAGACAGTAATGATTCATATTCCCTGCCTTGCCCATATTATCCAACTGGCCACTCATGAGTCTTGTTGACGACACAATCAAGATCACCGCGAAGAACAGAAGAAGGCTAATTAGGAGTAGGGCGAGAACAACCCAAATCCGGAAGCACACACACTATTATTGACCTTGGTGATGCGAAGGGTAACCGTATACTAGAAAATATCTATTGTAACAGTCTTTGTAACAATCTTGCAGCTTGGAGAAATCATGATCAAAATTATGATCAAAACCACCTGTCGTTGCGAGAGGTTTCACACCGTATAGTAACGTCGAAGGCTACTCAACCTTATTCAAGATGTTACTCTCTTTCTTTCAGGCCGAGGATTGGATAGATGGGCGTAGCCGCTTCACACTTCAAACTCTGATTGAAGAGGAGGATGCGGATGATGATATAGACGATGAGGAGCATCTCGCCGAGTAAGACCGGGTAAGAGGTTTAGTCAGTGAGGATGATGATGATCGACCACTACGACTACGTTTTCAACTCTAGCGGCGCTAAAAACAACCAAAGTAACAACTAACAACATCCAGGCGAAGACCGAAACAATCCCCGAAATATCAGTACCGATTATGAGTACGACGAAAGTACTGATTGAGATGCCCTATATATACGGCTAAGATGATGACGAACATGACGACGACCAACATGACGACCAGAATAAACTATCAGACTAGATACCTAACTGGAGGGTGAATTTATGTACTGTGGGATCAATAATGATAGATAACTAGCCTATAGATAGAGATGTTAACGCTTGAAGAAGGCTTCAAGGTTAACAGGTAGGATCCCTCCTGCTATATACATGCGATAAGCCAGCTGTTTAGCTAGCTACCTGATTCCTTAGTTAGTGGCCTGAGCTGAGTGGACGGTGTCACGTGGGTGTTCGTGACACCTTTACTAGCATCGAGACGATTTATCGTACTAAAGAGGCATTGGAAACATTAGCAGCGACGGCGATAGCGACACGAAGGAGTAGGTAGTCTACAAATAGTAGGAATAGCATCTCTAATAACCTAATCGAGGCGTTTATACACGTTTTTTAGATAGACGATAGTGGTAGTTGAGCGATTGAGAGGTGTTGCACTGCAACACCGTGTTGGATAAGTGTTGCAACTTGGGGTTGTTGCTACTTATGGGGTGGGGACTTACATTGACTGTTACAAGGGCTGTTACAACGATTGTTACAAGAGCTGTTACAAGGGCTGTTATACCGACTGTTACAACGACTGTTACAAGGGCCACCCAGTTCCCGTCAGAATTCTGTCCCCACCTAACTTTAGCACAAACTAGCTAATGTAACTACCTTACCTGTATATCTGAAGGAATCACCATTTTCTACCCTTTATGCGTTTACCACCTGTTTTAACTAGTAGTTTACATCTCTCTGGCATATCGCGGATCCTGTCTCGTATTTCCTCGAGCGAGATTTCACACCAGACCTCGTTGCCTTTCTCCTTAAGTTCTTCTATAGATAGCCTAGTCAGGCCAGGAACAGACCTCATTCTCTACTTCCAGATATTCTAGGCGGCCTCAGATGGGTTTAAATCAGGGGAGGGGGAGGTGTGGGGGGATGGAAAGGGTTCTGTAACTAGCTAGCCAACCTAGTAACAAGGAGGATAAATCTGAGGAGAGATAAGGAGGAATAATATCCCCTCCTTCTCTCCTTATATCGTACGCTCCTCCGTAAGGGATACTTAATGTCTTCCCCTTTCACCCTTATCCTTCCTCTTTCGTACACGCCTTACGTTTCCCTTACTTTTTATCTCTCTTCCTTACCTTCCCTTACGTACGGTGTCTTAGTTTACCAGGATTCGGTATCCCTTATACGGTACGTGCCTCGTCTAATCAGGAGGCTGCATTTTACCTGTATAATGTACAGGTAAATTTAGGTAATCAAGAGGTGGCGTTAGTCCTGCCGTTAGTCTTAGCGCTGGTTCGTCAGAACCGAGCCTCCTTCTGGGTTTAACCCATCACAGCTACCGTATACTTAACTATCTTACTAGTTCGAGGGTAAACTACCTAAGGGGAAAAGGGTAACTATTACGAATACCTACGTAATACTAGATACTCGGCTTAAGCTACTAACTAAGGAGTTAGGCCGCTAGTTAAGTAGCTGACTTTCCGTATGTATATAGTTAGAGGGGTCGTACCTATTAACCTTAAAGCCTCTTCAAGCGTTAACATCTCTATCTATAGGCTAGTTATCTATCATTATCGATCCTATAGTATATACATTCACCCTCTAGTTAGCTAACTAGTCTGATAAATATAGTATCGATTAATACTATAGAAGTAGTAAAGATAAAGGATAACCTTAAGGATAAATACTTCTATAGAGATCGAAGTAGGCTTAGTATATATCTTATCTAACTTAAGGTTATATTTACCTTATAGCTGTGATGGGTTGAACCCAGAAGGAGGCTCGGTTCTGACGAACCAGCGCCAAGACTAACGACAGGACCAACGTCACCCCCTGATTGGCTAAATTTACCTGTACATTGTACAGGCAAAATGCAGCCTCCTGATTGGACGAGGCACGTACCGTGCAAGGGATACCGAATCCTGGCAAACTGAGACACCGTACGCAAGGGAAGGTAAGGA